AGCCCCGGGCCCTCCCGCCCGGCCGCCGGCATCAAAGCGCCTATTATGCGGGACGCCGCGCCCGCCGCCCGCCCCTCTGCTGGAGGGCGCGGAAAATGCACGGCGCGGGGCTGCCCGCGACCTCCCCAGGCCCCTTACCCGCCCGGGGCCGCGGTGTCCTGAAAAGGAAGTGGGGACGATCTCAGGACGCACTTGGGTGGCCTTAAGGATCAAATACGGTCCCGGCGGCAGCGAGCGAGCGCTCCACCAGCCGAAGCTGTTACGTTCCCGGGGCCCTTGGCGCCGCACGCACTTTGGAAGGCAGGCCAGCCTCCCCAACATTTACTTTTAACTCTTGAAAGAAAAATATGAAAACTTTCAGTGTTTTGTGGTTTTTTTGTTTTTTGGAGTTGGGGAAATGCATAATGACAAAGTGCCACGGAGACATTAGTGACACTTTAAATCAGAATGATTTGTGGTTTGTTAATAACATCTATTTCTTGAGCACTCACTATGCATCAGGCACTTTGCTAGATCAGTACAGGATAGATTTATGTCGTTTAATTCTCAAAACTCTGTGAAATAGGACTTGGTGTCCCCATTTTACAGAAAAGAAAAGTCAGGAAGCTGAAGCCTGGGGGACAAGTCCACTGGGATGATAATAAGCCAAGCCTCCAACTCCTGGGGGGAGTGGGGCTTGGGGTGTAGGAACCAGGGACTAGTGACAGGGCGCTGATGAAGTCTCATGTCCAAACCAGGACATTTCTGAGAGTGAAGGGTGGCAGTCCTCGTAATTATGCTGGCAGCCACAGGTACAAGCGGGAACTGTCCTGGGCAAACAGCACACCTGGTCACCAGTAATGCTCCCCTCCCCCACCACACACACACACACACACACACACACACACACACACACACACAGTGTGTCCCTGGGGATTGGATCTGGGAAGTCTCCTTCCCCACAGACTTGCCTTCATCTTGCCCCCAGGATCGGGACCCTGGGGCCAGCTGGTCATCTTTTCTGTGGTTGTCCCTGGGGGATGAAGTGGCCAGGCTGTCCCGAGGAAGGGGGCTGGACAGAATGGAATGTCCCGAGGTGGGCCAGTGGCAGGGCCGCAGCAGTTCAAGGCCTCACGTCCCCAGCACAGTGAGCACCTGCTTCCCCTAGGTTATTCCTTGATGCCCATCCACCCCTAGGGTTTGGGTCTGGCCAAGCCGTGTGACCTTGGGCAAGGCACCCGACTTGTTTGAGGCTCAGCATGCTGAGCTGCAGAATGGAGGAAGCAGCGTCTCTCACCAAGCAGGGGCTGTTATAACTTTTATGACTTTCAGGGTGGTTTGAGCAGAGAGTAAAAGCTTGCAGGGGAGAACTAGGAATTCTTAGGAATTACAACCCTTGGTTGATGGGAGACGTTCCATCTGGAGGCCAGATTAGGGACCTGACCTAGAATGGGGCCCTCATGACATACTTCCCAGTCCAGGCTCAGATGGCCTGTTGCCCTGGTCCGTGGCGGTGGTTGGCCGCCCCACCTTCCAGGGCTCAGCTGCTGGGCTGCATTGCTCGCCAGATGCTCGACAGCTGCCGCATTCCACGCAGCACAGCCCCACCTCTGGGGCCAGAGAGTGGCTCTGCCCACACCAGGCATGACCGGGACCGCATGAGTCACGAGATGTCAAGCCTGAGGTACGTCACCATGGAATGGAGAGGAGGCCCGTTCTGCCTCCCCCCACCCCCCATTGGGATGCTGAGACTGGGCTTTGCTGAGCCCCACAGCTTGAGTGGATAGGGGCTTAATGCCAAGAGCAGGCATCAGAACGGCTGTGTACATCTATCAGCACAGAAACTGGGTGTTGGGGAAGAGGGGCCTGAGGGTGTCAGACCCTATCTATCCCAGGGGTCTTCAAACAACCTTGGTCTCCTTGGCACCACCTATACCAGACACCAATCATCGAACTCCCTGTGGAGCACCAGCCTCCTGCCCCTGTCCTTCCTCTCCTACCTTCCAAGTCACTCCCTGGGTCATTGGTGTCCACCATGTCATACACACACACACGCCCTCACCCCCCATGGCCTTGGCTTTCAGGTTGTCTGTGGAGGAGCATGCCTCTTCTCTGAATGCTCTCCCCCAGTAGATCTGGAGAGGATCCAGATAAGCTTTCAGTATATGGCCTTGTACCCAGAGACTCCTGCTATTCTGACTTGGAGGGGGGCGGCTGGCTTAAGTTGGGTCTGTCTCTCTTGAGAGAAGGTAGAATCAGGGCAATTTCAAGCTTGTCTCTGCGTTTGACTGATGACGTGGGACTGGGGTGGGGGGAACGTGGGCATCCTCTTCCATCAAGCTCAGGAAGAGCAAAGAAAGCTGCTCTGCAGGGGAAAAAAAGCAGCAAACACGGAGGGAGAAGCAGAGGCAGAGGCAGAAGCAGAGGGAAGGGGCAGGAGAGTCCCACCCCAGGCTGTCCGGAGGCTTGGCAGTCTTTCCCACCCCAGGATTCTAGGAGACCCTCCCATGTCCTCCCGATGAACTCCCCTTTTTAATTTAAACCAACTTGAAAGGGGTTCAGACTATGTGGCCAAGAGCTTAGACTGCACACGCTCCACAATCCATCCTACCCACACGACCTGGGTTTCTGGAGTGATCAGTGCTGGCCAGGCCCCCACTCTATGAACCCTGAGCTATTGCCCACCCTCCTGCCTGGAATGTTCCCTCTGTCTCCCCACCCTTTAAGGCCTGGCCCAAAGCCCTCCTTCTCCTCCTCCTCCTCATTGGCATCCCTCCCTGAGCCTTTCTGTGCTGGGGACACTTGATTTTGAATTCACCGTGTGGGGCCTCAGTGTCTCCCGAACCAGATGTCAGCTCAGGGCCCCTCACACTCTTCTAGGCTTTGCCTGACAAATCCCCTGGAGCAGAGGGGAGAGAGCAGGTGCCTGTGGTCATCGGACCCTAGCCAAGCCCTCCAGCCAGCCCAATGAGCTCTGCTTTTGCCACCTTCCTATTACTGCAGGTAGGCCAAGGCGGATCACTGAACATTCTTCCACCACTCCCCGGGTGCTGGGTGCGCACACCCACATGCCAGGGTAGTGAGTCTGCACCCACAGCCAGGGCCCCTGCTGCCAACCAGCAGGAAAGGACCAAAGGCATTCCACCCAGCTAGTATAGGGGTCCTTTATTTTCACATTTAACAGAACCGGTCCATGTTGCAGCCTGTCCCGCCCTGCCTGTGGCAAGAAAAGCCATGCGAGGGGTGGTGGGCTCCTGAAGCACGGGGCCCCGGTGCCGAGAGCCTGCTGCTGGCGGGAAGAGGGCCCCGGGGATGGGGAGGAGCTCCAGGAGGAAATGCCAGGAATCCTGGGCAGAGGCTGGTGGAGGGCCTGACCACAGGGGGAGCTCCCCAGCAGGACAGGCTGGAGTGGCAGCCAGGCCTCCACACCCAGCAGGGGCCTCCCCTGTGGCAGGTGGGGCCGCAGGGCCTCAGGGCCAGTGTCAATCAGTCAAAGGCCGGCTAGGGTCTTGGGGTCCCAAAGAGGAGCTCCCCCAGGACCCTAGTCCCCCTGACCCACGCCCCCTCAGGCCCTTGAGGCCCAGCTCTCTGGCTAGGCCAAGGCTGAAAGGAGCACCCGGCCCAGGGCAGGCTATTCCCAGGGTCCCGAGACCAAGCATTCCACGATGCCAGTGATAACCATGCAGGGGTGGGCCATCCTCCTGGCGGGCCGAGTAGGCTGCACCACAGCCCGCGAGGTCCCCGGGCCTCAGGTTCCTGAGACCCCCCCAGATTGCTGCTGAGGATCTTGCATCTCTTGGCCTGCCTGGTCCCTCAGCTGCGCGGAGCAGGTGATGGGCGGGTGTCCCGGGATGTCCTGCAGCAGGACAGGGGGCAGTTCCGGGGCTGGGGGCTCTGGCTCTTGCTGAACCCATCCTGGATCTCTGCGGTTGGCCCCCCTCAGCCTCTCAGGCACCAGCTCTGCCTGGGTCCTCGCCTTCCGGAGCAAGAGTGAGTGTGGTGGTGCGGAGGGTATGTTAAAGCATCGGGGGGAGAGGGGTGCACAGCTGATGTGCGGTAACCGGCTGTGGACTGAGTGTACTGTGTGCACGCACGGGGGAGCGAGCATACGTGTGTGCATCATGCACACAGGCGTGTCCCCACAATGTGCGCACGTAGGTGTTATCGACACTGGGCTGCGCGTGTTTATGCATCACGGCATGGGAGTGCCTGCCCGGGTGAACTGTGCACGTACGCTGACCCTGGCGGTCCTGGACTCGGAAGGCTACGTGAGTATTCGCTTGGGCTGGATACGCAGCGCCTGCAGGACTGCACCTGTGTGGTGTGTGTTCCTGCCCCGGGCTAGGGCCATAGCGGCGGGGGGTGGGGGCGCCTGGGGGGCCTTCACTGCCAGGTGGCACAGCTCTGGGGCAGGCTATGCAGAATGGCCTCCAGGTTCTGCTTGTCAGCACGGATCTCAGCGAGGTCGTTCTCGAAGCTCTGGATCTGCAGCTCCTGCTGCTCGGACTCCTGCTGCAACAGCCTCAGTTTCCCCTGCAGGGCCCCCGGCGGGCTCAGCTGCAGCCTCAGGCGCTCCAGGGCCCACTGGGTCTCGTTCAGGGCCTGGGCTGGGGCTTGATGGGTGTCCAGCGACTCTGCAGAGGGGCACGGACAGCCTCAGCACGGGCCAGGTCCCTGGCGGGCCCCAGAGCCTGTTCGGCCCCCACCCCCGAGAGCCTTGCCGGCCCAAACCTTCCAGGATTCTGACTGCCCACGATCCACCAGGAAAGCAAGGGACAGAGAAGGCAGTGTGCCTGGTCTGGACACCCCACTGGATTCACATGAAGACTCTGGAACTTTCCCCCTAGGCAGCAGTGGGCAACTGTTCATTTTTGTTGTGGTTATTACTGTTATTGATAAAAGGGACACCCTGTGTGGGTCCTGAGCCCATTTCCTAAAGCCATGTGTGCACACAGGGTCCCCACGATTCCCGCTGGCTCCAACATACGTGCCGCCTTGCCGAGAGCACACATTTACAGATGCCACGTGTGCCGAGACGTGGCCAGCCACTGGGGTAAAAAGAAGCATCTCTGGCATTAGAATGAGGGCTGGGAGAGCAGATGGGGCGGGAAGGGCTGCTGGCCCTGTGAGCAGGCAGCGGGGTCTCGTCCTGGCCCAGCACGGGGTAACTCTGTTTCTTGGCGTTCAGTATTTCCCAGAGCCTCTCCGAGCGTAAAACAAGGACGTGGGGCCCGGCGCTCACATTTGAACTTGGTGGTGGGGGTGGTGGTGGCATGGAATCCGCCGGCTGTCTCCCCGACCTGGCCCTTCTCACTTTGTCATTTAAGGGTGACATTCAACAGGAAGACGAGGTTCAGCCAAGTGGGAGAGTAGTGCGGATGGGGAAGTAAGTTCTAAATGGCTTCTAATCCCACAGGATCCCACCGGGCCCAGGGCTCCCCCGAGCCCCAAATTTCCTGGGCAACGAAGGTGGGGGCTGGAGGGCAGGTAGTGGCAAGAGCTGAGGGCACGGGTGGGGGGGAAGTGGCAGGAAGAGGCATTGGGGAGCTGAGCCCTGCCGGCCTGGGCAGATCCCGCTCCCAGCAAAGACCTCCGCCCACAGGGAAGTCCAAACTGCCTGGCCTTCAAGATTCACGTTCAGGTTGCAGCCACACTCCACCCGCCCCGTGGGGGCTCCCAGGCAGGGTCCTGCTGGGTGCTGCTCACGCCTGCGCCCCCAAGCCAAGCACAGCACGTGAATAAACGACAACAGCCAGAGCAGGTTAGCCTCGCAGAGCGCCCGCCCCGTGCCGGGCACTGCGGCCAGTAGTCTGAGTCCTTGGCGTCGGGTACAGACCAGCGGCTGCCAGTGGGCACCCCGAATCAATAGATCTGCGTGCGAACCTCAACTTCCCCACTGACTGGCCGTGGGACCCTGGGCACATCGTTTAAACTCTCTGTGCCTCAGATCGCCTGTCTGCAAAATGGCAAGAGCAGGGAATTCTAGGAAATCACGTGCGCGCGGAGCTTAGCGTGGGCCTGGCATGTGGACACAGTGCGGAACACGGCAATTCTTCCCCTTATTAATAATAAGGGCACGTGCGTGCTGTTATGTAGGTGACCCTGAGGACGTGACACTAAGTGGCAGAAGCCAGTCACAGAAGGACACATACTGGGTGTGAGTCCACTGACGGGAGGTCCCTGCAGTGTCAAGTTCATAGAGACCGAAGAGAAGATGGGGGTGCCAGGGGCTGGGGGCAGCAGGGAGTTCATGTCTAACGGGCGCAGTGTTTCGGTTTGAGAAGAGAAGGTTCTGGAGATGGGTGGCAGGGACAGCTGCACAACAGTGTGAATGGACTTAATGCCACTGAAGTGGGTGCTTAAAGACGGTTAAAACGGCCAATTTTGTGTTACGAGTGTTTTACCACAATTTTTAAAAACGCATGCCTACTGTGCTCCCCCCACGCCCCCCGCTCTGAGGCCTCCAGGCCTTGCTGGGTGCTCTCCCACTTGTCTGAAACGTCTCTTTGCTGAGGCTCATCTCCATTCTTCCTCCTCCCTGGGAGCCGCGGCTCACTGACTCTCACCACACAGCGTGGAAAGCACTCTCTAAATTATGCTGGTGTTTACTCCCATTTTACAGATGAGGGAACTGAGGTTCAGGTTTTCCCAGGGTCTCACAGCCAGGGAAGGGAAAGCACCGGACTTGAGTCTTGGTCTGGTTCCAAACCAGCACCTGATTCTGAATGCCGTCCTTGCTTCCGTGACATCCCCTCTCCTTCTCTAAAACCCTCAACCACTCAGGGCCCATCTGCTCCTGTGGTCCCTGCAGGTGTTCTGTCTGCTGAGTCTTCTCCCAGCCAAGCCCCCACCCCCACCCCCGCCAGACTGGCGGCCCCTGGAGGCACACAGTGACACTAGCCCCACTTTGTACGGGGGCCTGGAGCTATTTCAAATGCTTGTGGCTGGGGATGAGGGACAGTGGGCGGCTGGGGGCGAGGAGGAAATCTTCTCTAGGACAGGGCCTCACAGAAGCTCCTGGGGGTGCTCCAGGGACCCAGGGGTCTCCTTACCCAGCCTGGCGAGCAGCTCCAACAAGACCTGGACATCCTTCTCCAGGGAGGTGCGCGATTCCCAGATCTGCTGCTCCAAGGCATTCAGCTCTGCACCCATCTGGGGCGGGAGGGAGAGCTTGAACGGCTCCCTGCTGGCTCGGCTCCCTGCTGGCTCGGGGGCCAGCAGGAAATGGGAGTGTTGGGGGGGCGGGTCTTGGGACGCATACATACCAGCTCTGCTTCCTCCATCTCCTGTCTTCGGGCCTGTGAGGCTAGCACCTGCCGGGAGGTCTGTCGGAACGTCGCCCGCGTCTGGCTGGAGAGCCGGCCTGCCCGGCGGTGCTCCTGCTTGCCCTCCCTGAGCAAGGCCTTGGCGAGCTGGGGGGTGGGCAGCAGCAGAGGGAGAAGAGGGTGAATGGACTGAGTCCTTTCAGAGGTGAAGAGCACTGACGACCATAATGCCAATCGTCAGTCGTCAGTATGAGCCCGGGATCATTCATTCATTCCACAAACACAGACCGGATGCTGGCTAGATGCACAGAGCCAGCGGGGGCCTAGAAGGACGCACACGGATTAGCCTTTGGCCCCAATTAAAAAACAAGAGCCTAGAAGTTTGGGAGAGTAAAGCCAGGCTGACCTAGGTGAGAGTCCTGGTTATGTGACTTAAGTCACTAAACCGGGCTGGTCCTCGGGGTCTTCACCAGCGACAACAGTGACCTCTATTTCTTGAGGGATCAACAGGGTCACTTGCAGGACGCTCCAGGGCTTCGAGCCTGGGGCCCCCTAAGCTCTCGGTAAGTGCGGAGGGTTCAGCATGGGTTACATGGAAGGGGGCAGATCCGTAGGGACCACGTTTCACCTACAGAAGGGGCAGCTCTTCTAGAACAGTCCTCCCACAGGCCCAGAAAGCAGGGACGTCACTGTTGTCACACCCATGGCCCTGACCTTAGCACTGTCTTTGGCCAACACCTCGGCTTCCCTGCCCTTCTTCTTGGCACTGGAAGAGACAGACGCTGCGTTCCCCAGCATTCTCTCCGCCTGCTTGGTCTTCTTTCTCAAGTCGGTGAGGAGCCTGCTCCTGACGATGCCTGCCTTCCTCCCCAGCATGGCCTGGTCCCTGGGCCGAGGAAACTGCCGCTTCATTCCTGCAAACCCGGGGGGTGGGGGGGCGGGCTGTGTCAGCAGGGCGGGCTCACCCCTCAGGAGCCTGCCAGGCAGGCAGTCACTGCCTCGGGCCCATAGTCGACGTGAGAGGAGCTTCTAGAGGCAGGAGATCTATGTGTAACCTTCTGAGGCTCATCTGGGAAACAAATAATGAGCAAGACGTACTGCTCGGTGAATTCAAGGATTCATATTATATTATGATGTTTGTTAAAATCGCGAGATTGCATGGTTGGCCAATGCCTGGGCCAGGGGTGGGAATGGATGGGGAGCTCCAGCACGGTACCCAGCAGATCCATTCAGCTCTCTTTCTGTGTAGCCCCTATTTCTAAAAGGGCTTTGAAACAGCTTATAGTGATAGGTAAGTCAACCACTGGACCATTAAAGTGAAAAACCAAGGGCCATATGTAACTGGGGGGATGAGGAAGGGAAGAAGAGGAGTGGGGCGTACCAGAAAATTAGGATAATGGCATTACAGCCACTGAATGCTCTATTTACCTCTGAGCTTCCTAGCAGCCAAGACAAAAAGGGAAGTATTCAGATTTGCATAGGTTTTGTTACCTAATAAGAAGTAGCTTCCCTCTGTAAAGAAGAGAGACTTTTCCCTTTTCTTTCAGATAAAATTTTAAGGGAAACTGGGAGTACTAACAATAGTCAAATTTTAAATGAATCAGGCCTTCTAAGGCAGAATATCACATAATTTTCCATGAAGATAATCGAGAAATTAGATCTACTTTGTTTCTTTTTTTTTTTTTTTTAAGATTTTATTTATTTATTTGACAGAGAGAGACACAGCGAGAGAGGGAACACAAGCAGGGGGAGTGGGAGAGG